TTTTGCCTCGGTGAATGCCTGAAATCACCTCTTTTGATGTACTGATGTACTGAATAATCAAGCACCAAGCTCGATGCCGATGTAAACCTTTTGAAACATGGTTAAATATATCATGCCGATGTAAACATTGCGACACTCGGTCTAGCCGATACCCCGTAATACACCCAAACCCCACGTATGGTTTGGTCGGGGTTGAAGCTCGTCAAAACGTCACTTCAGCTAACATGATTTGACGGGTCCCGATAATTACCGAACACTCATTCAAACAACTCGGTTGGGGCCACTCTATAATCGGACTCTGACGAAGTCCGGTGACTTTCATTTTGTTTCCCGTACAGCCCTAAAAATGTGTTGAGTTCTGCGAAGTTATCTGAAAACTCGCATAATCGACTCACACTTGTGGCTGAGATTTTTATAAATGATCAAAGTGGAATTCGGAAGTTATCTTTATAAAATCGTGCAACTCGGATCATGATTTAAGTAATTCCGAGTTGAAGCAGTTTATTTTCTACTGAAAACCGAATTCAAAACACTTGGTCGAAAATCGCTGAAATTTGTACAGCAAAACATACAATCAAAATCAAGCATACTCAAACATTTCATATATAAATATACTTCGAAAAGTGTGGGGAATCCCTTACATAATATTTCCTACTAAGGGAGTCGGCTATCCAACATCCCCGATTACATATCACAAACTTAGAAATACTTCCTACTAAGGATGCCGACATGTCGACACCCCGATTACATAGCAAAAATACCTCAAAAACAATCAAAACCAGAAAAACAAGCAATAAACTTCAAGCATCGTCAGCCGGTTTCTCCACATTGCCTCCGGAGCCGCTGCCTTCTCCGACTTCGGTACCAGAAGATAATCGCTCCAGGACCTGCAACTCCTTTGCCTTAGCAGCAGCTTCAATGGCCCCATCTGGCACCGGAATAATATCATCACGAGGATCGGTCAGCTTCTCCGCATCGTCTCCAACCGGCGTGACCACTTTCACAATTTCCACCTCCTTATCGGCCAACCTCGTCTTCTCTTCAATGTAAGCTTTGACTCGGCTCTGAATTTGCTCCGGTGTCATGTCGTCGAAGTGTTGTTCAACCTCCACTTCGGCCAGAGTTGAAAGGTACACATCGGCCAACTCCTTCCTTTTCTCCTTCTCCTCCTCCAAAATCATGTTGACATAAGCACGTCGGAGGAGAGCAGCCCTATCCTCGGAGAGCGGCGGCAAATCTGGGTTGGCATTTATTTCTTCTGAGCGGCGGAGCATCCACACGCAAAACTCTCGTTCGTCTTCATCAGCTGCCACGTGCATCCCCTTGATCTCCGAGTCAAAACCATACTTCTCTAGTTTATAGAAAAGGAACAGGCGGAGGTCGTCGATATCATAGTAGCCAGCATCGTAGCGTTCGATGATCCACCTCAAGTTCAGACATGTGTTCATCTCAATCTCG